AGAATGAAATTAAAAAGTTCCTCAAAACAAATGATAATGAAAATATAACATCCAAAACCTCTGGGATGCAGCTAAGGCAGTCCTCAGGGGCAGTTCATAGCACTAGGCAAACACATAAAAATGAAGAAAGAAGCAAAATTAATGATCTAACTTAACACCTTCATCAAACAGAAAATGAACAACAATCTAACCCCACATCCTCTAGAAGAAAGGAATTTATAAGAACAAGAGCTGGAATCAATGATATAGAAAACAGAAAAACAACTGAAACCGTTAATAAGACCATGAGGTGATTTTTCAAAAGGGTCAATAAAATTAACAAACCATTGGCACACATAACAAAAAAAGAAAAAAAGAAGACACAAATAACTCCATTAAGGAATGATAGAAATGACATCATAACCGAACCAGAGGAAATGAAATCTATAATACTGGAATATTATGAAAAGCTATACTCTGATAAATTTGACAATTTAGAGGAAATACACATATTCCTTGAAAATTATGCCTTTCGTAGACTGAGACTGACACAGTCTGATGTAGAACACTTGAAGAGACTTATCACAAAAGAAGAACTTGAGCAGGTCAGAAAAAGACTCCCCACAAAAAGGTGAACCAGATGGATTCAAACCTGAATTCTATCAAACATTCAGAAGGAATTTATCACCAATCCTACTTGTTATTTCAAAAAAATAGAAAAAGAAGGAACACTCCGAGAGACATTCTATGAAGCAAGCATAACCCCAAAATACCAAAAGCAGGCAAACACACTACCAAAAAAGAAAACTACAGACCCTTAACAAAATCTTAGCCAACAGAATCAAAAAGAACATTGAAAAAAAAATTATTCATGACTAAGCAGAATTCATAAGAAGTATGCAAGGATGGTTCAACATAAGAAAAACAACCAAAGTACTTCACCACATTTAAAAAGCAAATAACAAGAACTATATGATTCTAGCAATTGACAAGATCCAACATCTGTTCCTGATTAAGATACTCTGCAAAACTGGAATAGAAGGGAATTTCCTCAACAGAGTGAAAAGTATATATATGCAATACCAAGAGCCAACATCATTCTCAATGGAGAAAGACTAAAGCATTTTCCTAGTGAACAGGGATCAGGCAAGGATGCCCACTGTCATCACTTCTATTCAATATTGTATT